CACAATTTCACAGTTTGGGATCAATAAAGTAATTCTATTCTATTCTATTCTAATAATACTGTTAATCAAACAGCGCTTTAATTAACCCTTTTCAAGCTGCTCTTCTCAGAGAGGAAGTAGGCAAAGGCATTGGAGAAGAACTTCCAGGTCTATTTGAATTGCAGAACTGAAGATGATTTTCACCAAGTTTCACCACAACCTGCCAATGTCAGAATCGCCAACATGTTTTCCATGACCTCAAGTTCAGAACTTGAGAAAGGGTACAGGTTCTTCGCCTGGTTGAATGGATGTCATCATCGCTAAAATGAAGATGCTGCAGTGAAACATTTTGAAAGTAGAGCCTTCATCTCTTCTGATCACCATAAACCAGCGAGCTCAAAAGCCTCAAACCTCCGTTTTAAAGTAGAGGAAATTACTCACATTATTTATTTAGCAAAAGAACCCAGAATTTCCCTGAAATTAATCTCTAATATGCTATTGCTTTAAAAGAAAAGAAAAGCTTAATCTCAATACCAAAAACACTTATCAGAACAGTCTAAGTTTCAAGAATATATTTAGAGTTTGCAGTACGTCAGAGCAAGAAATCTAAAATTACTACGACAAAATGTTGACGATTAATTCTTATTTGTGGTTTAGGATGATTTTTAAGAATTAAATCTAGATTCTCCTGTTGTTCACATCCTCCCCCCTTGTTTACTTCATACAGAGACACAACAACAACAACAACAACAACAACAACAACAACAACAACAACAACAACAACAACATGGCTGCCAGCATTAAAGAAGAGTTTGTACCCTAAAAAAGACAATGTCTCGTCAGTCGTTTGGAGCTGGTTTGGTATTACAGCGTCAGCCTTAGAATAAACCACAGTCCGCTGCAGCGTCTGTTCGACGGCTGTTGCAACTAATGACCAATCAAATTCAACATCTCAAACAGAGGCCTGCAGCCGAGTGGGAGAAACGACTACAAGATGCACGAGACGGCTGCAGCCCACGAACCACTAAAGCAGCTTACCTGAGAATAATCATTCTCCTATTGCATCACATATGACAAGAAAGGGACACAGTGGAAAGCTCTTACTGATGCAGTCCTACTGCATATCACTAAAGACATGGAGCCGATATGCATGAGTTTATCCACATGTCTAAAACTATCAGCCCCCCAGGTGTGTGCTGCACAGCCACACATATTCTCCTGAGGTTGCTTTGCCTCATCTGTACTTTTATTGTTCCCTGAAACTGCATAGAGCACTTTGAAAGACAAGTTTACAGCGCGCACTTTAACCCCTAAAAAGAAATGTTCTTTGCTTTTGTTAAAGTTTATTGATGATGTTTATTGATGAATTGTTATTTTTTTTTGTCATTTGTAGTTTTATTTATTTTAAGAAGACAAAAATGTATTTAAATGGTAAGTCAAGTTCAGTATTTAAAAAAAATCTGAGATTTAATTTTCAGGCTGTATCACCCAGCCCTAGTTTGCAGTATAAAAATGTGATTTATATTTTAAAAGATAATTCATAGTCAAACCAGTGGACACAGCTCCAAGGTTTCCTCTGTGACACTAAGTTTTCATAATTTATCTGTACATTTAATTAAATTTCACCTCAAAACTTCTGATCACACTTTTGATATTTAGGAAGGTCACAGTTACACAACATGTGGAAAAATGTTTAGAAAAGTAACAAGATGATTGGATCATATTTCATAGGCAGCAAAATGAATCAAGTGAGGATCATATCTCAGTTTCTCTCTGAATTTGAGGACAGAAGATGCATTGAATTTTAAACTATTACATTTAGACTAATTTTCTGAGCTCGGATAAACTCTACTTCTTTCTAAATAAAACTATAAAGAATATCAAATCAACTTTTTCTCACATTTTTATGAAGCATGAACCAGTTTTGATATCTGGGTTTAAATCATTTTTTGTAAATGTGTCATGTTTTTAACCTTTAATCAAAGACTTCATTACAGACTGAGGACTTCCTTTGCTTTTTGTTAAAGACTATGACTGTGTTATATTTGCGCTTGTCACACTTCCTGATCCATATTTGCACTTAAAGAGTTAACGTTAGCTTATTAATCTTGTCCGTTGAAGTGTGAAAGCTCATAAAGCCCTGGTGCGACACATTTAAAAGGGGCTGCTTTTCATTGTTTATCCAGGCTCAGTTGTCACGGTGTTTTAAACTGCAATTATTTCCAACTCATTTTTGCATAGAAACCTAATTATTCACTGAGATATAAATTAGATTCCACATTCACGGAGACCATGAAGGCCCTGAAACTCCTGCAGGATGCTATTCAAGCGCCTTTTCTCCTCCTTTTCTGTGCTGAGCCTGAGATGGAGAGAAGCCACTGCAGCTGCTATTCACATCAAGCAGATAATTGTTAATGAAAAGTCATTGCATTATGTTGTCCACAGGATCATTGTTCATTTTCCCCCCCTTCACTGTTCACATCTATATGGAGGACCAGAGTGTTTCCTTTTGAGTTTTGGTATTCAGGATCTGTTGCCTGGTAACTAATAAAGGGCCAAATCATCCACTGTATTGGCCAAGATGGGCCGCAGACTGGCCCTGCACAACAATGCGCGGTTTGTAAAAAGGCGTTGATACAAGTTAATGACGCTTGTTCAACAAAACATTAATGGACTTCTTCACGCTATAATATGGCATGGGATGTGCTGTGAATGAGAGGGGGGAACTTTAGCAGAGCACTTTTACAAGTTTGTGTGTTTTTACTACTGGGCGGAGCTGCATGCACACACACACACACACACACACACACACACACACACACACACACACACACACACACACACACACACACAAACATGCATGCTTACACAGTCCTTTTTAACCCTTTTTCAGGCCCTTGGACACACTCTTCTACTCTTACTAAAAAAAAATTGGTTTTCCTCTAAGGAGAATTAACTCTCAGGATAAAAAAACTCCTTTTAATCCCCTATTTAAATTGAATTTTCCTGTTATTGAATAGCCCTGTGATTAATTGCCCATCATGATGTGAAAAGAGGGGGGGGGTGAATGGTGGAGGGTAGCACTGCAGAGAAAAGGAGAGGTGGGGCCCTGAGAAGCTTTACACATTTCTAAGATTCTAACGTTTAAACAGTGAGTGATATTACTCCCATTTGTTGCACCGGCTTCTTAACCGAAGCGGACAAAAAGACTGCAGCCCTGTCACCCCGAGCAGAATAAAGGGAATCAAAGGATTTTTCCCTTAAATGGACTAATTTTCTCCTTGAATTATGAAAGTAATGGCTAGGTAACAGCCTGTGCTCAGTACCCGACGGCTTAATGCTTCCTAAATCCTTCCACGTGGCTCCACTAGTCCTGGCAATTAGGCCTCATTATAGCCTCATAAAGGATCTCATTTGTGGGATTACTTAATAGACAATGAAATTTTATCGTGCAGAATTATGGAAAAATAATATTAGAGCTCGCATGGTGTGATGAGGACGCGCGCCACGCATCATTCCGCTTGGTTTGCTCGCTCTCTCTCTCTCTCTCTCTCTCTCTCTCTCTCTTTCCCTCTCGCTCTCTCTCATTGCAGACTGTTATCTGTACCATAACAACACTGTGCGTCCTGCCTGTCAGACGCTGTATTCACTTTATTAGAGCAATTACTGTCTGTGTGACAGACGTGTTTGTTTTATTGTGGTTGGATTTTAAAGACTTTCTAATTCTTACAAAGGCTTAACTTTAACTCACAACTCAGTGAGTGCTACAGTTTGAGAGAAACGCGTATTTCCGTCATAATGAGGACGTTTTTTTATTTACAGGATATTCCGCATCTTAAAGAAAAAAGAGGCCTGTTGCTCCTGTGATTCTGTCTTAGGTCAGCATGATAAACTAACGCATGTCGGACCCGGACCTGCTGCTCTCTGTCTGAGGGTCGGAGGCGTTACTTGGCAGATGAAAGCAGAAGCTAAACCCACCGATGACCTGCCTGCGGATCAAACTCGCTAATTATCGTCACAAGATGAGGGATTAGCGCATTTCTGAAATAGCTGCCTGTTTACCCCCGCACAGACCGACCATTATAAACACTTTCTAATTGAATCCTAATCGCCATCGAATAACCTGCAGCCCAGACTCCACATCTCTTCATAATTCTTTAATTGCTGGTAGTGAAACGCGGACCAACCGGATTCAGAGAATCATGATTAGGCAGCAAGGCAATTAGTGTTTGTGCACAATTCTTTAAATCGCATTTAGGGGGGAAATAAATCGAGCAGAGTAAAATAAGGTCTGGAACAAGTCCATTAGGTATTCTAAGCCATACTTATTATGCAGCTGTTTCATTATATACTGTACCATTTTTTATTCGTATAAAAAGGATCAAATTCTCTTTAATTCTCTGCAAAATGAAACTTAATTTTGACAGGCTGAAGCTGGTCGAGCAGGTTCTTCTGTCTCTTTTTCTTATATGCTTAAAATGCTTGTTTCATGTTTTGAAGTGTAACCATGGTGATCAGGTGTTTTCTTATTATATTTGATAGTTTGAAAGGTTTTTAAATCCAAGTTTCAGAACCATGAATATATTCTTTAGCAGCATGTTTTCTTACATTTATTGTGAGGCTTTATTTTCTAACACTGTTTGAAAATGATTGTTTAGATTATAAATATTAAATCCAGAAGAGAGCCAGAGCAGACCTCAGAGTAAAGTTTATTAAATATCTATAAATACGTTTTTTTTCTGTGTAGCTGATTTGTGTTATTCTTGAGTCCAAGAGATTTCTAAATTCGGGGATAAAAAGACTAAATCTCCAAGTTGTGATTGGAGGCCTTGTCACGTGGTTTGGGTCGCTGACAGTAGAAACCCATGGAGCCGGGTGCGCACGTGGGTGACGCTGCAGGGCCAACCCTCTTCGGGGTCCCTTTTGTTGAAGCATCAAACATAAGCACCTTTGGGAGTCCCGAGGGGCTCAGATGAGAATCAGCTATCATCTTGTTCACGGAGCGCTCTATACTGATCAGCGGAGCAGCCATGTCGAGGTCTTTTTACGTCGATTCTTTAATCATCAAGGACACGGTGCGACCTGGACCGCCCGAGCATCCAGGACAAGACTTCCTCCTCCCCATCAGCATGCACTCTCCCGGCATGATGACGGTCAGTGCTCCGGTGTGCCCGTCCAGGAAGAACGGGACATTCTGTGTTTGTCCGCTTTGCGTCACGTCCCACATCCACCACTCGTCCCGCAGCGGCATCCCCATGCTGAAGAGTCAGTTTCCAGGAGCAGAGGCGCAGTACTGTCAGAGGATAGCGCACCCTGGACATACACCTGTCTGCACGCCCACCTTCAGCGTCACAGACCCCAGGAGATACCACTGTCTGTCTATTGGTAAGACACCTGTTTGATACTCTCTCAGCTCACAGCTCTACTCTGCATCTGTTCCATTTTCTTCTTTACTTCTTGATGCACTAGATGTATTTCAGCGCTCTGCTTTTACGCACAAAGATTACGCACGATTTTTTGTGAAATGTCCAGCCTTGATCGCATTTAAAACTTGTATTAATTTTAAAAATGTAAACCTCAGAAATAAAAAAAAATATGTTTTTTTTTTTCCAACAGGCGCCTCAGAGAGCAGCCACATACAGAACGGAAAGAGGATGCGCACAGCTTTCACGAGCACGCAGCTCCTGGAACTTGAAAGGGAGTTTTCCACGAACATGTATCTGTCCAGACTCAGAAGAATCGAAATCGCCACGTATTTAAACCTGTCAGAGAAACAAGTGAAGATCTGGTTTCAGAACCGCAGAGTGAAGCACAAGAAGGAGGGCAAAGCCACGCAGAGAAGCGCGCACAGCGGGTGCAAGTGCACGACCGCGCACACGGACTATTCACGCTCAGAGGATGAGGAGTCTCTATCTCCGGCCTCCACCACAGAGGAGAAGGAGGTGTCACCCATCTGAGAGAGACGAGTCTCAAGTCCCGCACGTCCCTGCTGGCACTTAACGCTGCCCCTGTAACAGTCATTGATTATGTCATCAAGCGACCTCTGGGCCGAAAATCTCTTGCATGAAGTCTGAGCAGAAATGTTGTTTTTCATGTTTCCTACTTTTATATTAAAGTCAAAATGTTGAAAACTGTCGTAAAATGTTGGGAAACGTTTACCCCCCCCCCCCCATCCTGCTGTTATACATGTGTTTTGATCCCTTCGGGGTCACACACACACACACACACACACACACACACACACACACACACACACACACACACGCACACACACACACACACACACACACTAATGATGGCTAATGATGCCCAGTAACATGTCTTGCCCGGTCTCAGTGTTGGCCTAACCTATGTGGAACCTGAACGCACCATTTGTAAACTATGTGTATATCTGTATTTATTGTAATAAAAATGACAAGTTGAGCTAAGAAGTTGTCGGTGTAAAGAATCTCTTAAATCATCTGTTAAGTGATAATATTATTAAGCAATATTATATATAATATAAACATTATTATTCTAAATAAATATAATTTTACTCAATGCAAGCTGATGGACTCTCAATAAACCATTCTGCATTTCAAATGCATTTAAATAAATATCCTGCAGTGATTATCGCGAGACCTTAATGGATTAAAACTTTAACCATTATATATTTGCCATGACATTTTGATTACCAGGAAGCTCAGCTCATACAGCTGTAAACGTATTGAAAAAGACTCTGTTAGGTAAGAGTGCAGGATCGTTTACACATAAAACATTTGAACAAAGTAATGCGTGGAAAAATATAAGAATCTCAGTTTGATATAATGCAATCAAATCAATCCAGTAAACTATTAAAAAATAATGGTTTATATTATATTTTGTTGTATTTATTCTTTCTTTTTTTGCCAGTTTACGTAGGAGATGGATTTGCGCAATTGCACATCGAATATGAGTGCTATTCACTTCCACTATGGATCTAAGAGCACAATCTTTCTTCTCTCTGGCAGCTGTTTTTATTAAGCTGTCATTATCGCGCTATTGGCGTTATATTTGACAGAACCAATGTTCACTGTGAGATTTTTATTGAAACATTTTGAGTCCCATTTACATGATATAAGCTCTTTAATTCAAACTGGACCGACTGAGCTATATGAAAGTGTAGCTGTAATTTCTCCTTAGATCTGACCACAAAAGGGTACCCGATAACGCCCCCGGGGAGCAGCCAATAGTCCATTAATGTTCGCTTTTCAAAAGATTCTGCTCGTCCAAAGCGAGTTTAATTGCGTTTTCGGTCCCACGTTGGTTGATTATGCTGCTGTGGCTCGAAACCACAGAACAAGGATATATAGAAGTGGGCAAAGGCTTTGACAGGTTAGATTGTCCTGCCTTGGGACTCGCATTTAGCCCTAGACCCCCCGACGGCTGTGCGCTCAGAGAGCTTTGAGAGACAGCGACAGGGTTCCTCCGAGCGACACAGAACGATTTAGTCACTGTTTCATTAGGCACTATTTGAACCTTTCAACTCTTGCTGAATTAAAGGGGGCACGCTCAAATGGAGAGACTCTGAGGGGGTATTACGTGGGAGGGGCCACTGGAAATTAGCAGACGCCTAATTTAACTCGTTTCTGTCAGAGATTGGGATACATTCCTAATTGAGAAGGGAAGCAGGTGAAGTTTCGGTCCCACGCAGACCCTTTCAGAGCGGGAATAAATGGCCCCCTTTCACGTCCCGCTCATGATCATATATTATTGGGGGAAAGCCATCTAATGAATATATATTGAGGTTCCTATTAATCGAATTAGAGTTCCCTCTTGCAGGTGTGAAAGACCAGTGCAGCGTTTAAAGGGATACAAAAAGAATAGACCCCCCCTTTCTCCAGCACTCAGACTGTAAGATCATTTTTAAAGTTCATCAGTTTGTTCAGGTCACATTTATTATCTCCATAAAACTGCTCATCACGTTTGTTTTATAATCAAAATATAGTGAATGACGTAGTGCAGAGGGACCACGCATACCTTATAACACGCAGACAAACGAGTCCACTCCAAAGACGTCAGGCCACCATTGAAAAAGCGGCAATTACGCATGACAAAAGACAATTAATAAGAGCGCTTTTCAGGCGGCTGCAGCTGCTGTCTCATGCAGAGAGATAGAGGCTGAAGAAGCTGAAGTGCCGGTGTGGAAGAGAGGGGAACAGGGGCTGCACATCCCCAATCAATGTGGCCGATAGCAGACACATCAGAGTGCTATTATAAAGAGATATCTGGAATATATTTCTTCTTAATCACTGTGATTAAGTACACTATTATTTCTGGGGGCCTGGTTGGCCCTTTGGGACCTTCTGGCTCCCTCTTTTTGACAGACTTTGAACAGTTAATGTGAATCTTATATCATCACACTGGCCTGTTGTTATAACACTGGACACATGGAAACAAAAATGCAATTGATTGTGAGTAATTGGAGGGCTAATCTTAAAGTGTGTGTGTGTGTGTGTGTGTGTGTGTGTGTGTGTGTGTGTGTGTGTGTGTGTGTGTGTGTGTGTGTGTGTGTTTTTGTGTGTGTGGTGGTGGTGGGGGGGGTTATGTGGCAATAATTAATCATAATGCTGACCCTTTAAAGTGATGTTAAGTGGGTAAATCTGTCTTTGTAAAAACAAGGTCAGGTACATTAACACACAGAAAGACAAGTGCATCATTCAATAACTGATTCATCTTTGTACATATGATTGTGTTTCTTTTAACTTACATGACGTCACATGATGTCATTTTTTTCTTGACATGTGATTGCCGATGATACAATCAATTTCCTCACAGATCAAAATGAACACAATAAGAATGCTCTCATGAAGTGAACATGACCTCTAGGTGTTCTGGATGGGATGGATGTCTGGTTCAAGAGTCATATTGTATCTCTTTATGTTTGAATCAGAGATCTTGAGCTTCAAGCCTAAATGTAAAACTCTCTCGGCCCATTGTCATATTATAACACACCTGAACATGTTTTCTTGTGGTAAGTTCTTATTCATGACAAGCTCCACTTGAAAAAGATTATGTCTCCACCCTTGTGGAGCTCTGTTAGACTATGATTTATCTTTTCATATCTAATGGAAATATAGTATGAGCTAACAAATGTAAAACCAGTTTTTATTCCATTTTTTATTAGACAAGACATTTGATACTTTTTTAAACTTTTCACTTCATTTCACTTTTATCTTTTCTTTTGTTGCACAAACAGAACAAACAATCCAATAAACAAAAATATACATGTAGACTTAATGTCATGGGGTTCATATAGTTCATGATGTTTTTTTTTTTAATATCTCCATCTTCATCCAGGAGTTTCAGGCCCTTGTATTGAATCTGTTTATCCTATTGCTTCATAAATTCTGACTGTTGAATTCTCAGAACATATCAGAGTCTTTACAAGTCATATATCTCCTCAACAATCTCCAGCCACTTTCTCAAAGTAGGAGGGTCCTCTTTGTACCATTTCCTGGTGACTGCTTTCTTTATTGCTTTGAGTTTGACCAAATGTCTAAAGATAGAAAAAATAGCCAGCACACCAGAAGCTGCTCCAATTAAATTATATTTAATGGAAAATTAACACCTGTAACGTTTCGGGCCCTCACCCTTCATCAGACATGACCATTTAACTAAACATCTGTCTTCAAATTGAAAAATATCCCTTGTTAGATTGCTTAGATATAAAACCACAGATTCCTTAGGTCATTCATAACCTTCATCATTACCCAAACATCTTCACACTACTTTCTTATTTTCGTACATTAACAGAAAATACGAGTGTGAGTTACATCTCTTTCCCCCCACAGTCTCCAGCATGTCTGTTTTGTAGTAACAAACATATTTTTAGTCTGTGGTCTGATGAACTGTGTGTTTCTGCCATCACAGTTCTTTACACATCCTAGATCTGTATGTTACATATGTTATGTCAATCTTTTGTGGATATTTTTGTTCCACTTTCTTTTTTCCATTTGTCTTTGATAGAGTGTGTCTCTTCTGTTTGTCAGTCCTTCATACATCACTGATATTACTCTGCCTGTATTATTTGTACATGCTTTACACAGTGTCAAAGTTGATCTGCCATTTGGCACTTTTGTTTTTCACTTTCTCTTTAATTAACTTCCTAAATCCTTCAACAACTTTTTTTTTGTAATAAGGTGTCAGATCCATTGTTTTCACAGCAGATATGTTGATCTTCTATGCAGTCGATTCTTCAGAACCAGCTTCGGACAAGGTTTTAATTCAGTCCAATCATCTGGGAGAGTCTTTCTGCCTCACTTCACAGTCACTCTTCTATTCTGGGTTTTAAAAGAGATCTTAACATGGCCTAAAGCACTATTGTAATGCAGTATGTTACTGTATATACAATTATTTTGTCTCTTCCTGCTTTTGCATTTCATGTGCAGAGGCGCTGCTTGTCAACAGGCAAGGCAGGCAACTGCTTGGGGCCCAAAGACCAGTAGGGGGGCCCATGAGGGCTGACAAACTTTAAACCAAAGCAGCGGCCCAAAATGTACAAATTTTGCAACGACCTCAGTTCTGACAGCTCTCGTTCTCGTTGCCCTGCTAAGCACCCATTATAACTGTGAAAACCAAAGTGTGTCAATAAAGAAAAATTAAGAGGAATTTTCCGTCTATAGGAAAAAAAAGAGGAAGAGCGTCGGGACACTGGCGGACATGATGGTGATGAACGCCATTTGGGGGGGGCCCACAATTATTTTTTGCCTAGGGCCCCGACAGACTCTAGAATCGCCCCTGTTCATATGTAAACCTCAATGTGTTTGTATTTGGTGGCAGGACTTTGCAGATCTTTGAATTTCACTGTTAGGTGAGTCCCCTATACACTGTACCTGTGCATGTTGTATCTTCACGTCTTCTGTCTTATTTTATTCTTCTTTCTTCTGCACAAAGAAAAAAAACTTGAAGAACTTAACCATTAGGGTACACATGTTGTACTTTCTATTGCATGAGCAGTGATGGCTGACAGGAATATATGCAGGATGAATCATGATTTCTTGTAAATAAACAACAGAGTCACTCTGAGGAGGCATATCATCACTATGCACCTTGTAGCTGTATTTCACTTATGATGTACATTTTATGTTTGTTGTAGGAATGTTTTCCAGTGACAAACTGTTAATTTAACTTGAGCTTTTTCTTTTTCCGTGTCAGAGGAATCGTCCTGTGCTGCTTTCAGAGAGGTTGAGCTGTTAAGAGAAGATTTTAAAATATTTCTGTTGGTCTATAAAGAACTGAATAGTTTAGGACTAAAATACTTTAGTGACCTTCTGATACTTTATGAACCATCCAGACCGCTCAGGTCAGATCTGCTTTCTTCCCCAGAGTCAGAACTGAACATGGAGAAGCAGCGTTCAGTTTTTATGCTTCGTATATCTGAACAAACGTTCAGAAACCTGCAGCTCTGCTGAAACTCTCAGTTCCTTAATATCAAGGCGGAGGACTCATCACTTTTGTAATGAATAAAGTGATCCTAATACCCATTTTAACTATAGAACACTACACTGTTACTTTTACTCTTTTATTTTAAACTTTCTTTAAACATTGTGATCAATGCAATGATCAAGTATTTTCTTTTGTTTATTTTAAGGTCAGTAAGGCAGCAGTGCGGTCTCCTGGCTTTCTGCTTCTTATTCTCCTTCTGTGTTCTTTTTTTTGTTGCACTTAAACTACAAGAAAAACCTGTTTGAAAACCTACCTGACAATAAATCATCTTGTCATTATTTAACCTAATTTATTTTTACTCTGAAAATTATTATGTGTTAGATCAGTGACAAATATTGTGACACAAAGATCCGTAATGAAAGCATCATGAGTCATGCATTAGGTCAGCACTAACATCACTTGAAGCCTTCCTGTAAATTATCACTGAGAGAGAATGAATGTGTCCATGAGCTCAAATGTTTTGTGTGATTTTTTTAATCAACAAATTTATCATCTTAAAAGCAGACAGACAGACAGACAGACAGACACACAGACAGACAGACTTCAGCACGCTGGACAGCTCCCTGAGAGACCTCCGCCCAGAGGCCACCGACAGCCTGAGGAGTCATTATCGATCATCACAACTTTAAACACTGGTCACGTCTATGTTTCAGCAGCACGAGCTCTCAGGTACGTCGTGTGTGTCAGCTGGAAGTATTTGAAGTAAATCATTTTAGAAATAACTTCAGAAAATAGTTAATAATAATAGCACATTACATTTTAGCCCACTGACCACTTTTTAAAAGCTCAACAAATTGAATCAGTGAGGTAAGCACTGAGCACTAAGTCCTTATTTGTATCCAGAAATAAAAATGAAGTTTGTACGCTGGGAATCAAAGTGCTGTTACTGTCGGACTTTGAGTTTGCTTTCCACACAGGAAGGACGAACTTATATGCAAAACACGCTCCATCTATTCATTTAGATTTTTTAATTTATTAAGTTTTCTGTTTGATATGTCTCATCTTGGAAGTAGGATCAAACAACGACTTTTTCTTGTGGATATATAGATGTTGATTTTCCAAACGCCCCCTGCTGGACAGTTGAAGGAGTGACGCAATGAAAAAAAGATGATTGATAGTGTGTGTGTGTGTGTGTGTGTGTGTGTGTGTGTGTGTGTGTGGGGGGGGGGGTGCTGATGGTCTGAAGTGCTGAGTGTGAAGGTGTGAAGAGTTGAAACATCATCTTGTGAAGCCAAGAACAAAACTATTTATGACTTTTCACTGAAGACTTTCTGAAACTATCTGAAGACGATGATTGTTTAATGATCATGTCACAAGTGAAGACAAAAGGGAACAAGTTGTTGTCTCTTCAAAGTCTAAGTTAAGAAGATATTTTACATTTTGTTATATTTAATTTATTCAAAACATTTAAAATATATATATATACATGTATTCTCGCATATAAAGGCCCTAACATCGCCTCCAGGCTCTGGCTTATTTTCTGCTTCAGAGCTTTTTTGAAGCGAAGAGATAAAAATCGTCAGAAGTTACAATCCCAAACCGGTTTAAGGTCTTCCGAAGTTACGATCCTTTGTTTGGAGAACAAGGACGCTGTTCTTTTCTGCAACATGTGGAAGTAATTGCGCCAAGCGGCTGCAAAGCTGAGGGGGGGGGGGGTATCATGGACCCCGGGGCTGTGCTGCTCCATGCAAAGACACCGGTCTGATGCCCCTCTCCTGTGTGCCCACAGAAAGGTGATTCATTGGGGCTCATTACTCTTCTGCTGCGCGTCAGGCGAGCCCCGGGGTAAAAAAAGAAAAAAAGAAAAAAAAAGGGGGGGCAGGGGTACAAAAAAATAAAAATAACGGACTCAGTATAGACAGATTACTCAGAGAGAGAGAGAGAGAGAGAGAGAGGGTGGTTTGGTCGTTGATGATATGGTGGTGTTGGAGCGCCCTCTATGAGTTACGCTCTGCCTGGCTGTTGCATGTGTCCATTCACTGAGTGCATCCTGCAGAAAAGCATTTATAATGGCACATAAAGGTATTTGAGCTGAGCTACTAACATTAAAACACAATGGGAAAATTAGCACCTGTGCGATATAAGACATTGTAACATCATCACATAAAACACAAGTTCTTCTAAACACCGACAAAACTTCTCCAGTCCTCCAAAAAGTTCTCAGATCCGAATAGAAATAAAACAACAATCCGAATTCATGCCCTCGTTTCGGCGGGATAAGCGTCGAAGAAGAGACTCTTACTTTGAAAAGGGGTCCAACTCTGGAAGGGAGAGGGGAGGGGGGAGGGGGTCATTTCCTGAGAGTTATTTACTTTGAGCCAGATGATTTTTCGGAGGGAGGGGGGTTCAGAGGAGGAGGCGGAGGGCAGCAGCAGCAGCAGGAGGAGGAGGAGGAGGAGGGTGGACTGTAACATTGAATCAGTTACAGGTCGCTTGGTTGGAGCGCAGTTGTGAGGACGGTCGCGGACGCGGACAGAGGGTCGCACATATGCTCTCACAGCGCCGCAGCTCTGAGGATTACAGCCGCAGCAAAGGACCCTCACTGCGCCTTTTGGAGCCAACAATTCACTGTGGATATACTTACACCAAAGGAATATAAAGAGGGGATTAGGAAAGGTAATTGAACGGTTGTTGAAGTCCACATTTTTGTGAGTCCTTGAAAAAGTTTTTGGTGTTTTTTTATTTGGTTAATTGAAGGGAATCTAAAACACAAATCATTCTCTATAGGTCTACGATGAGTTTAATTGCCGGTTTGATTAGTTTATCCAAATAAAAAGTTGAGGTAAGTTTCAGAAAAGTTTCTTTAAAAGTCGTATTCGCTTAAAAGGGATTGCTCGACTACCCTGCAAGTTGGTTGCAAACTTCTGCGTCTTGAAATGCATCATATTTTTTAACGATGAGATTTCTTGCTCCTCGTGCACCATATGGTGTCACCGCTGGACGCCGCGCGGGGAGATGCCGCTGACTCTGCTGGATAAGAGGCGCTCGGGTTCGGCCTCACAGCTGGAGGTGTCACCCCGAAGACTGAAGGCTGCATTGAGTGGCTGCCTGCCACTTAATGGGAAACACATTGGAAAGTGTACATCTCATTGTTTCCTACGTCTGGTCGCGGAATGTGAGGAATTAAAATGGAAAATCTGCACCGGAGGCGCAGGAATGAAAGTCCGTTTGATGGATTCAGGAGGGTGAAAGAGGAGCTGAGTGTTTTTTGGAGCAAAGACGCATTCTTCATTAACCACCGACCCACTGGGTCACCAGGGGGGACTCTGTACAGGATTACTAACTATGGAGGAAAATTTGTTCAAATAAGAAGACTTGTTAAGAGATGTTATTTTTGTCAGTAACTTTTTGGATTCACTTTTAAAAATGCTTTTCATGGATTCGACCTTTTTGGCTCGGAGATGAGTTGAACCACTTCACTATCCGTGCAGGGCAGAGAGTTGAGACAATCCTTATCAGCTGTTGCTCAAATGTTTGCAGCCCTGCAGAGCGATGATGCATTTGTTATCTGCCACATTTGTCGAGTCTCGGTGTGAGAAGAGCCGGACATGCAGGCGGGCCGAGCGCGCTCCAGGCTCACTTTAGATTTACGCGCAGCGGCTGCAGGACCCGGGTCAAACGGAGACAAAAAAATCTCTATTGGAGATGTTTGAGTCGAGGCGTATGCACAAACACGTCAAAGCAGATTATGCATTTTGTCAGCTTATTCCCACGCAGTTGTGTAGTTTAGTGCGGAGTGGGTGCTCTAATTATAGAGTTAAACAAACCCAGGTTGCCCAGGGATCATTTAGGCCGTCTCGGATGAGCCACAGGAAGCGATGCAGGGGCCAAAAGTTTTATTGTTTGAGGAAACTGCATGAAAGATGGCTGTGGAATATCCATAGCACGCTAGAAACAGGAAAATACTTCAGGTCAAAGTAGTAAACAATGAAAAGAGGAATATCTGCTGCTGGAGTGATTATTTTAATGATGGTGTTAGAACAACTCAAGTTTATGGAGGAAAATAAGCGTTTTTTTATTTCATTAAAACGACTCTGAGTGGCCCCTGATAAAAAATCCCAGATCCAGAGAGACCAGGGGTCTGCAGAGCTCCGTGACTAAACTAAACCTGACAGGACGAACTGTGACGAGTCTGGACTGAACTTCAAAATGTCTTAATTAGGCGTCCTAGAGAGCCATTGTTTTTGAATTGAGCAAGAAAACGACTGCTTTTGTTTTATGTAGTTATTTTTATTCTTATAAATCATTGTTTCTTCAAAGCAGTTAAAAAAGAGAAGAAAATGTTACAATCAGACAAAAGAAAAACTTGAAATGCGAGAGATGGAGATGATGAGATCCGCGGAGGTTTTTAGTGAGCTCAAAGTGTGGACTGTGTCGCCCTCTACTGGCCGTCTTCATGTTCACATCATGTGAATACTTCTTAACACTTCGGAATTTACAGTCTTGTTATCTTGACCCTCATTCTGCAATGAATAATTCATGTAATCCTGTGATGAATCGCCCTTTTTCTGCTTGTTGGAGGAGAGACCACACGTGTTGCCTTCAGGTTCCCTCTGTAAATCTGTGTGAGGATTATTTAAGCAAGAGGAGACAGTTTGACTGCACAAACTGTAGTTTGGGCTGGAGATGAGATTAAGAAGCCAATAAAAAATGGATTTATTGATCAAATCATTCTCTTATCAAACTGGATAAATTGCAGAGACAGTGGATTTATATCAAGGAAAGGACAAAAAATTCAAAGTGTTTGCTTTAGTTGTTGACTAAATTCACTTTTCTGTCTTTACAGGACAGAACATCCATCATCATGGATGGAGTAAAGGTGTCTGTCGTCCTTGTGGGAATTCTGGTGGGGCTGGTTTCAGGTAATTTTTGCAGTAGAGCATAATGGTCAGGTGTTACTCCTCATTATCTGTCAGTTGGTGTAATGTTTCTAAAAACGTATTTTCAGTGACCTGTGGACTGTTACCACCGACCATCGTGTCCAATCAAGACGAGTTCATCCTGCAGCCAAACTCTGTGTTCAACATCAGCTGTACGGGGAAGAGGAATGTGGTTTGGGCTGAACCCCTACCCCAAAACACCTTTGTTTACCCGGGTTACTACACAGCCACGCTCTTCATTTACAACGCCACCGTGGAAAACACAGACTACTACATGTGTGTCTACCAGAGCCAGGAGGGAGAACCTGAAGACAATGAGGCGGGGATATACGTCTTTGTTCCAGGTGAATAGGATTCGTACACAAGGCCGTGCAGTCATGGATTTACTTTATTAGGACATTTGAAGAAGCTTTTGGTGGATAAGTAGCCAAGTTGCCCAGTATGTATACCATTTATTACTTAAAACAACGATCTCGCTGCCATGTTAGAGCAAGAAATATGTCAAGAAAGTGGAATATATAACCTGTTTTTAAATTACCATCAAATCATTAGCTAAACCTGAATAATTTATTTTGACTGTTTCTCTGTTAATGACATAAACAAAACAGGAAGTGTTCAAACTACAAACAATAGATCCACTTTGTGCTTGCATCAATTATTGGTAAGCTTGTAGATACTTAAACCAAGAATTTGTATCAGCTTTATCTATCCTATGGGCTCAATCTGCCCACCCCTTATAGACAGAGGTGATAGATGTCGTCAGCAGCCACAGGACGAGATAATGAAAACCAATATAGAACAAGTAGTGCTGGCATTGTTTAACACCAGGCTGCAAGCTTAACCCATCAATTCATATTTTGGTCAGTAAAATGTGAAAAAAATAAACATGTGGAAAAAGCTCATTAAAATGTCAGAAAATGTCAAAGTAAAGTCTTCAAATATGTCCAGCTAACAGAAGACCTTAAGACTCTTCATCAAGTATCTTCCATGACAAAGAAAAGCAACAAATTAAGAACCATCAAAAGTTTGACTTTTCTGCCATTAAGGCCTTGATTACTTTTCTTTCAATTGAAAAATGTTCCACTGAAAATACATTTCAGCTCTAAGCACGATTAAAGGAATACAAAACAGAGAAGTAACAGAGTTAAATAAGTAACACAGCACCATCTTAAGTGATTATACAAAGACTGCAGCAGAAAGCATCTGAGTCTAAACAAGAGGATGTGTAGAGTTGTTTATGAATTCAACTTTACATTTAAAAGGAGAAAAACTTCTTTAAAAAGTTTCAAAACATCCCTTTAAAGAAGAGTCATAAAAACAGAGTCATCACTGCACTAGATGTGGGAAACATATCCAACGGGTCATCATGGTGCTTTCCCTCCCTCAGATCTGCAGGCTCCATTTGTCCCCGAGTCACCTGAGAAGCTCGTTGTCCCCATGGACGATCCTGGAGTCCTCATCTCCTGTCGAGTGTCTGACCCGAACACTCTGGTCGTCCTGAGGAGCGTCCCCGACGGGGAGGAGATGCAGGCTTACTACGACAGCAAGATGGGATTCTTTGGCAGCCTGATGCCTGGACAGTACCACTGTGAAACCAGCGTGAACGGAGAGACAGTCACATCTGTGATTTATACCGTGGAGATGAAGGGTGAGTCAGGATCACCATGAAACCAGAGACCATGCTAGCTTAGATTTTATTCTCAGGATTTATTTGATTGAAGAATAATGAATTTATCCGGATCATCACCCTATATCCCTTTTGTAAATTTAAAAAACCTTTAGAAAGCAGGAGTCAATTAAGTCAGTTAATTTCAAGTATGTCTCTTCAAAAATTCAGCTCTTTTAAAATCAGCTTTTAGTGGAACAATATAAATATTATTGGCAATCTCCAGAAAAGAGCTTGTAACAGGAGAACTGTCATTTTATAATTCAGGTAAAGGGACTTGTTTGAAATGAAAAACTAACTCTTTAATATTGAGCTTATTCACATCCTGTTCTGTTTCAGCTCTTCAGTAAAATAAGGAAATTCGGTTATTCAGCGAGTCATCTTTAAGTAGCACCTACACAGCAACGCTCAATGTAATAACTATGAAATTCACAACAAAGCTTTAGAATCCTGTTGAGTATATGTTTGTAAAACTTTAGATCTGTGGGCTGAACTTGTGGTGTCCCTGGAATTACAAAAACTTGATAGCATAGATCAAGAGTTAAACAGGTATTGATCAGATACAGATTTCAAATCTGCACATCAGGAAAACACTCCCCATGTGTGTTTATGGTGAGAGGGCTGCAGGGTGATCTCACTGCATGACAGCTGTGATATGATGTCATTATCACACGGGGGGATGACTTAATAAGTGTGTGTGAGGAAGTAATGACAACATACTGAGCCACCACTCTGCGATAGATGAGCTCATAGGTAATCAAACTGTCTCTGGACCTGTGAGATGATGGTGCTGATATCTCCTCTCTGGTGGTCCCCTGCAGCCCCCGCAGAGATGGAGGACTTTAGCGTGGAGGTAAAGGCCAGCGAGGAGACGGTGAGAGCTGGACAGTCCTTCAACATCACTTGTGTCGCTCCAGCAGGACCGGGCTTTCAGCAGCAGTGGCTCCATCCGAAAAAACAGGCAAGAAGGAATCCTTTTTTTATTTAAATTTAGTGTCTTCTTTGGTTTCCTCCTCAATCTGCTTCTTTCCCTCTTTCCTTCAACCTCCCTGTCATATTTCCATGTCATTTCCTCCCCAGCAGAAATGAGCCTTAAATTAGTGAGCAATGTTTTTTGGAGCAGGCAGCAGCAAGTGGAATATAGCTCTAAAGACGGCCCTTAGTGGTTACAAAGTATGTGTTAGAGAAACAGGACTGGATGTTGTGTCTTCATTATGAGGACGTGAGCCAAAATGCTCCTGCTGCCATTAAAAAGATGAGGAAGTTAAAGTTCAGGACGAATGGCTGGAGGGGAGCAGGCTGTTCAAAAGAAGAAGAAGAAAGAGGGATAGTAAATCCTTTGACCTCGCTGACCTCAGACATGTAGGACAGATGCTGTCTGCACAGGACAGCCACATAAACGTTTAACGCTTTTGAAGTGTTGGCTGCAGGGATCAGAACAATTTACATTTGTTTACATTCATTTTCAGTCCTTAATCTATGCAGCATGTTGTCCGTTTTTTTTTTCTGCACGGGATTCCTCTAAACATTTTTCCAGGAAAGTTCAGGGCAGGAACACAGACATTTTTGACTCCTGGTTTTGGTCTCAGGTGCAATTACAGACTTTTAAAAAGGCTCTGTGGTCCTGATTTATCTTCTGTGGTTCCAGCAAGTGTTTTAAACATTATTTTATTTTATTTTTTATTTTTTGTGTGTGTTTTAAACATTATCCTTCAGGAACACAGCACACACATTCTTATATGTTGTACCTGTAAAATAGGGGAAAAAATCTTACCACCAAGATTTCCTTCTCTCATCCCACAGGCTGTAGATGCAGTTCAGATGAAACACACTCTGCCTGACCGGGTCATCTACAAACTCAGTGTCCCACAAGCCACCTCTCAGGACAGCGGCACTTACGAGTGCTCCGTCACCCGCGAGATCAGCGGAGAGGTCAGAGTCGGCAGCGTGGCTGTAACTGTCATTGGTAAGTCTTTATCTGCTTGGAAAATGATTTCTGGATTACTTTGAATGAATTGTTATATCTGTCACGTTTAAGGTATAAGCTTATAGGTAGAGGACCAAGGTGCAGTCAGCAAAATAATTTATTTGAACAAAAGACAAAAACGGAAAACTGACAAAGTCCATAAAAAGTTCAACTGAAAAAAAATCTAAGATTAAGTGGTTAAAATTAAACTTAAAATTAAAGGGGAACAGGAAAGTAAGAGAACTAACTGGAAACGAGAAGGAAGGTACACAGAAACAAATACACAGGAGCTAATCATCCAGGGGAAACAAGACTGAGGTGAAAATACTGTGGAGGGAAAACACACAAATGTAGGAAGTAAAACTAGACAAAAGCAAAGGACTACAAAATTAAACAGGAAACACAAATCAAACTTAGAGTTATGAGAGAAAAACCAAGACTCCAACTCAAGACTTTCATCAATATCGGGGAAACATGCTCAGACCATACATTCATACCCACTAGGGGAGTGCTCTAAGCTCCTTATACTCACTTACCCTAAATTCAATAATCTCTTCCTCATTTTGGTACATTTGTCCTGCTCTCAGATTCATTATGAAGCGCTTTGGTTGGTGTGTTAAAGTCATTTTGCACCATCCGTCTGTAAAGCTTCACCTCTGCTTTCAACATCAGCTGCTGTGTTTTATGGGATGACTCTAGCAGATGTTGTGTCAGGCCTTCATTTCACCTCAGCCCTCTCTGTTTCCCTTCAATCATCTCGATCTTCTTGTTTACCTGTTTTTAATCCACAACAACCAGCTCATTAATTTCTTCTTCTCTGTTTTCAGAAGACAACTCCTTTGTGGCTCTGGATCACAGCGGGATTTTTGAGACAGAGTTTGTCAGCCTTTTGGAAGAGACAGAGTTCACCATCCTCATTACCGCATACCCGGCTCCTAAAGTCATGTGGATGAAAGACGGGAAAGCCATCCCAGAGAGCTACTACGTCCTGACCAAAACCAGCCACATTGAAGGGAATCGGTGAGAATAAGACTTTGATTCTTCAAAATATACCTTTTCTCAGTTTTACTTCTGACATTTATGAAATTTCAACACATGTTTTTTTAACTGCTTTTACTTGCCAAGAGTTCGATGAGAAGGGAATGTCTGTTTGGAGCCAGGAGACGTTAGCTTAGTTTAGCTTAGCTTGGAAGCAAGAGGAAATAGCTAGCTTGTCCAAAGGTAACAATATCTGACTTCCAGGTCCTTTAAAGCTCAAAAATTAATATGCTACATCTCACTTATTGAATCTGTGCAAAAGTGTTAAAACGTGTTAAAAAAACAATCATGAGCAGGACAAATTCTTGTCTGGAAGTGCTTACTTCCTGGAGAAAAAGCCTGGCTCAAAACTCCCTGCAAAACTGCAATGTGGCATTTTAAACCTTTCTGACTAAAGAAAGATACCACTGAGCTTAATATATATATACATATAGTAGAGGTTTATTTTCATTCCTTCAAAAAGGTTTGGATTAACTGTTGCCCCAGGTCCTAGACTACATGCTAATCTAGGCCAATCGCCTGCTCGCTCCAGTTTAACATTGACACAACAGGCAAAGAATAAACTCGTCTTTTTTATATTTTCTTCTCACAGGTATCAAAGCATTCTGACATTACGGCAGCCGCTTGTAAAAGATGACGGGAATTACACAATCACAGCTGTCAGCGGCTCTCGCACCACCCAGTTCTCCTTTAACCTCAAAGTCAAAGGTAAGATGGATGGATGGATGGATGGATGGATGGATGAGATGGATGGATGGATGGATGTGATGGATGTATGTGATGGATGGATGTGATGGATGGATGTATGTGATGGATGCATGTGATGGATGTATGTGATGGATGGATGTATGTGATGGATGGATGTGATGGATGGATGTATGTGATGGATGGATGCATGTGATGGATGTATGTGATGGATGGATGTGATGGATGGATGTATGTGATGGATGTATGTGATGGATGGATGTGATGGATGGATGTATGTGATGGATGAATGTGATGGATGGATGGATGTGATGGATGGATGTATGTGATGGATGCATGTGATGGATGGATGTGATGGATGGATGTATGTGATGGATGGATGTATGTGATGGATGTATGTGATGGATGGATGTATGTGATGGATGGATGTGATGGATGGATGTGATGGATGGATGTATGTGATGGATGTATGTGATGGATGGATGTATGTGATGGATGTATGTGATGGATGGATGTGATGGATGGATGGATGTGATGGATGGATGTATGTGATGGATGCATGTGATGGATGGATGTGATGGATGGATGTATGTGATGGATGCATGTGATGGATGGATGTGATGGATGGATGGATGTGATGGATGGATGTATGTGATGGATGGATGTGATGGATGGATGTGATGGATGGATGGATGTGATGGATGGATGTATGTGATGGATGCATGTGATGGATGGATGTGATGGATGGATGTATGTGATGGATGCATGTGATGGATGGATGTGATGGATGGATGGATGTGATGGATGGATGTATGTGATGGATGGATGTGATGGATGGATGGATGTGATGGATGCATGTGATGGATGGATGTATGTGATGGATGGATGTGATGGATGGATGGATGTGATGGATGGATGTGATGGAAGGATGGATGGATGTGATGGATGGATGTGATGGAAGGATGGATGGATGTGATGGATGGATGTGATGGATGTATGTGATGGATGGATGGATGTGATGGATGGATGGATGTGATGGATGGATGTGATGGATGGATGGATGGATGTGATGGATGGATGTGATGGATGGATGTGATGGATGGATGGATGTGATGGATGGATGGATGTGATGGATGGATGTGATGGAAGGATGGATGGATGTGAGGGATGGATGTGATGGATGTATGTGATGGATGGATGTGATGGATGGATGGATGTGATGGATGGATGTGATGGAAGGATGGATGGATGTGATGGATGTATGTGATGGATGGATGGATGGATGTATGTGATGGATGGATGGATGGATGTGATGGATGTATGTGATGGATGGATGGATGGATGTGATGGATGTATGTGATGGATGGATGTGATGGATGTATGTGATGGATGGATGTATGTGATGGATGGATGGATGTATGTATGTGATGGATGGGATGTGGGTGACTGATCTTGTTGATGTCTCTCTCTTCCAGCCCCCACCTCGGCCATGTTCCCCCCGTCCTCCGCTCCTGTCCTGCTGCCTCAGGTGGAGGAGCTGGTGGTGCCCCTCCACACTCCGTTCACCCTGACCTGTCGGGGGGAGGCGAAGCTGGCCTGGGAGACTCCTCTGGAAGTCCCAGAGAAAACCCAAGAGGACAACAGCGGCCTGTTTGTGACCACCATCACCGTGGACCATGCCACCGCCATGCACACGGGCTACTACATCTGTTTCTACAGCAGGAACGACACGGACGCCGGAGAGGACAGCAGCATCTACATATATGTGCCCGGTAAGAGCAGACAGCAGCTTTGTGATTTTAATTATTTGACTTTATTATCCGGTCTAAGAGACTAAATTTGACTTCTGTTCAGATCCCGACGTCCCCTTTGTGCCGTCCCCGGTGCCTTTTGGAAACCACGTCCTCTCCGACCATGAGGAGATGGAGATCCAGTGTCGAGTGTCTGATCCCAGTGCTAATGTGACCCTGGTTAACGTTGACACACTGGAGCCTGTGCACAGTGTTTATGACAGCAAAAGGGGCGCCCTGGGAGTGTTCACAGCTGGAACCTACGTCTGCAAGGCCCTCATAAACGGAGAGGTGCACTACAGCGGGGAATACATCGTCCACGGCTGGACAGGTGTGTGTGTAAATCTGTATCAGTCGAGTCATGATGCCACAATTTTAAACTTAAAAGCTTTATATGTGATTTTTTGATCCAGTAGATGTCGCCCTTGAGCACCAGTATGAAACCAAAACAACTTGCGCTGCATTGTTGTGTTAGCATGCTAATGCTAGCGATCTTTATTATGCTCGTATCTTCACACTGCATGTAAATTTACCTGAAATGAGCGTGATCTAGAAACACAGTTAAGCAGTGAGTACAGTATGTTATTCTTCTTTTCTCCAGTCCCTCAATTAAACAACTTTTATACATGAGGGGAGGAGTCAGCCGGCCGTCCTGGCGATGTAAACAAAGTGAAGATAGGACTCTGAAAACTCTGAAAACATCACAGACAGTGGGACTCGGGTGTTACACCCATTGTAGACAGTCATGACTCAGAGTTATTTTCAGAGGATATACTTGATTTATATTATATTTAAGTGTGAAAAATCACATACAAAGCTTTTAAATAGAAAACTAGTCAAATTCAAGTGATGGACATAAACGATCTGTCAAAAAATAGATTTGTAATGGCACTTCAGTAAAGGGAATGTTTATTCCAGGAAATAAATGTAATAATACAAACAATGGATTTAGATTGCAACTAAACATCAAATAAATTTCCTCTCGCACTTCTGCAACAGCCCTCACAGAGCAGGAATTTTTAACTTTCATAATTGCTGTTTTTGTAGGTGGTGCAGAGCTGCATGTGGAGCTGACAGCCAAACGCACCGCTCTGCTCGTGGGAGACATGCTCACAATCACCTGTATCGCTCGGGGGTCGGAGATTCTGGAAGACCACTGGAAATATCCCGGAAAACTGGTGAGGAAGCAAGTCATCTCCTGCAGCACAAAACACAATGACGCAGGGTTAGTTTGAAGCAAAACAAATGCCTGATGTTTTTGTTTTTATTTGCAGTCTAACCGTGCAGTTAAAACCTTGCATGAGAACAAGAGGGACCAGGAGATCCTTTACACACTCACCATTCATCAAGCCTCAACCAAAGACAGCGGCATCTACTCATGCTCCATCACTGATATCATCAGCAATGAGAGCCAGACAAAGCAGCTAGCTATTCAGGTGTATGGTAAGAAAGCTGTATTTCATTTAATAGTATATTTAGCATTTATTTTAATCTCTTTATTTGAGCGATTGCTGATTTCCGTCTTCCTTCTCTTTCCTATCAGCCGGTGAGTTCCTGTCCATCCGGCCAGAGTTCAGAGAGTATGAATCTGCCGAGCTGGACGAGGTTCGAGAGTTCAGGGCTTTGATCAGCGCCTTCCCCAACGCTCAAGTCACCTGGCTCAAAGACGGTGTCCCGCTCAGCGACGTGACGGCAGAGATCACCACCAGCCTGCGGCAGCTCAGTGAGACCAGGTGAGTCCGCAGCAGAGCTAATGACAAGCTAAAAGGCTAACGTTCCCACACATTAGCCTGACCTGTGATTATGGCTGTTTTAACTTGTGTGTCGTCTGTTTGTGCAGCTACGCGAGTGTTCTCACCCTGATCCGCGCCAAGGAGGAGGACAGCGGGAACTACACCATGCAGGTGGAGAATGGAGACCAGAGGAGCAGTGTGGGGTTGAAGCTGGAGGTCAAAGGTCAGCGAGAGGAATGCCTCAAGCTCATCATTATCTTTAATCCTCACTTTACTGTCTGTCTGTTTCTCACATGTTTACACACTTTCCTTCACTACGTCACAGTGCCTGCAGTCATTGTAGACCTGATGGACATCCACCACGGCTCCGCCTCAGGACAGTCCGTGGTGTGCATCACCAGAGGGCAGCCCACTCCTGTGGTGGAGTGGTTCATCTGCAAGAACATCAAACAGTAAGTTCCGTCTGCTCAGTTAACAGCCAACAGTTTCTGTTCACTAATGAAGCCCTTACTGCACTCTTACCATCATATTTAAACTTCCTCATCAAACTGGTACAGCAGTCATTATCTGACTTGTTTAGGAGATGCTCCAAGCTGTCAGTGCAAACGCTTAATATACTTCTTTAAATGTTTGTGCTGCACATTTGGAATATAAAAAAAACACAACACATAGAAACCCATCACACCTTTTCTTGTTGGTCAATTTAAAGCCATGATTACAAACAGTGGTGGTTCTAGACCACTTTTACTGAGGGGGCCAAACTGGGGCCAGTTGTTTTGTCAGAGGGGAACATTACACCCAGGGGGAAAATAGACAAAATATATAAAAATATATATATATTATGCCAAATAATAGCGCACATCATCAAATACCATGATTTATATTTGTTTCAGTAACAGAATTTATATCTAGAGTCCGGTTGTTGAGTCAAATAGTGTGTATGTGTTTTGAGGGGGGTTCTTCCTTTTGGAGGGGTGGCCACAGGGGGGACCAAGCTCAGTGTTACAGGGGCACTGGCCCCTGTTGGCCCCTGTCTAGAACCACCCATGATTACAAAGCACTGCACTCTTTAATGCAACTGTTTGTAACCACTCATCTGCTTTCTCTGTATGTTTGCTTTCTTTCCACTTTCTCTTCCCTTTTAACTTTGGTTCAAAATGTTCATTTAGCAGTAATTAAATTAGTTGTTGCCCTCAACTCATAATATTTAGACGCTGGCAATTTTGCCCTGATGTCACACTCAAGGGGAGAAGCTCAAATGCTCTTTTAATTTCATATTCTTCAAAGGTTTGTAATTCTTTTTAAACACTGACAACCACTGGTAGCTGTGAATGTTAATTAAAAGTATTCAGATCTCCTGGCTGAGGCGGAGTGATTGAAGTCCCAGTGATGTTGTTCTCAGGTATCGTCACTCATGTGATGCCTCTTGTCCAATCAGATTACCTGATCAGAACTGACTGTCATCGATTAATCCTTTGATCAGTCAAAAAGTAGTGAATGTAAATGATGTGTTGTTAACTTTATGTGACTCACATCCTTGAACATATGAGCAGTATGAAATTCTAAAAGCACTTTATTTTCTGGCTCTTAGCGTGAGGTCATACGGTAGTAAAACAGTGTGTGTGTGTGAATAAGGTCAGTGATTCCTCAAGATTTGAATAAAGGTTAAATTACTCAATGAATAAAAAATCAGAAATGGAAAATAGTAATCATGATTTTTCTTCATTTTCCCCTCTTAGTTGCGCCAACGACACGTCTTCCTGGGTGCCCCTTCCTGCCAACTCCACGGAGATCACCGTGGACTCCCACATGGACGAGGAAGATAACCTGGAGAGTCAGGTCATGTTCGGTCACCTGGAGAAAACGCTGGCCGTGCGCTGCCTGGCTAGGAACGAGATGGCGGCCGTGAGCAGGGAGGTCAAACTGGTGTCCAACGGTACGAGAGTGTCTGCTCTCTCTTTTCTTAGATCTTCACTTAACGTTGGGTGTTGTTGTTTAACACTTAGTTTTCCTCTACTTCCATTTCTGACGCTGGGAGTGTGACTGTGTTAGTGACCGTATGTTGTGATGTCAGCATGGCAGCAGCTGTCTGACGATGAGTTCTCATTGAAACAGCTGAAGGGGGAGGGGCTTATTATTCTGACAGCTATTTCAGGGAAGCAAGAGATCGTTAGGCCATTTGTTTGTTTTTTTACTGATGAGCTTTACACCCCCATCCTCCCCCACTCCCCCTAAACCTCCCCTGCCCCCTTATCTGCCCCCGCTATGGATGTAACCATCTTTCAGCTCTCTCACACAGTATTTCCTGTAATGTAACACATGGAGCGTATTTCACATCATTTTTCATGAAGACACACACACACACACACACACACACACACACACACACACATGTCGACTCGTGTGATCATTGACGCTAACTCTCCCCCCCCCCTGCACAGGCCCCCACCCCGAGCTGACCGTAGCCGCTGCTGTGCTGGTGCTGCTCGTCATTGTCATCATCTCACTCATTGTGTTGGTTATTATTTGGAAACAGGTAATGCTGCATTCATCGTTCATTCACACATTATTCACTCACTCAGCTGTGCTCTCTGTTTCTAACATGTTTGTACTTTTTGGGGAAAATCATTTTTCTGATGCAATTTTATCCTTTTAAAACTAATCCTAAAAGTAATGTGGGGAAAAACCCAAAGCGGTTTTCTCGAGAAAATTAAATAGCCTTCAGTTAATTAGCTGTTTTCTGTCAAAGATGCTAATTACATGGACAAAAGATGTTCAAATAAACTTCGAGGACAGGTTCTTGCCTTGCTAACACTTTGATAGTTGCTCAGCTTGGATATTTTGTTTATTTTTGTATAAGTGAATTAAGGCTTTTTACTTTTTGTCAAAGAAGAGTGCCGTCATTTATCACCTCCAATTATGTGTTCTTACCCAAAGAGCAATTTTAGCACCTTTGTTAAAACCTACATGCCCTAGTCCTTTCTCCCAAAACACATCTTTTAAGATGAAAACAAAAGCTGTAAAATGAATTATATTTAAAGTTTCATGAAGCAAATTTGAATCCTGATTTTCCAACGTGCACTACAGTATACTTTGAATTCTTCTCTGACTGGTTAAAGGCTTGTCCTTTCAAATGTGATGTTATTGTGGGTATCACACCAAATAAAAAAACTCAACTAGACTCATAAATTCAGCAAAACATGTGAGCAGACTTTGTAAATATCCTCTAAATAATATTGCAATCCTGCTGCAAAATACAAGTCCAATTAATTAATGCATTTCCTAATATCTTTTGTCCTGCAGAAACCCCGCTATGAGATCCGCTGGAGGGTCATAGAGTCTGTGAGTCCAGACGGTCACGAGTACATCTATGTGGATCCCATGCAGCTTCCCTATGACTCCAGATGGGAGTTCCCCCGCGACAGACTCGTCCTCGGTGAGCTGCGCGTGATAACCAGTGTGACAAAGCTGTTAGTCCTATGTCTCCCTGCAGAGATGTTCTGTTTGTCAGGATGTCTCACTCTGTCTTTGAAGTGAGGCCGTTAGGAGATAATCTGCTGCTGGCAGTTGGGGAGTTTGTGGCTTTGGGTTTGGTTTGACTCAGTGATCAAGAGGATGTTCAGACACTGAGGGAGTCAAAGATGAGGAATCAGAGGCGTTCAGAGTGCATGGATGTGTTTGTGTTGTTCTTTGTTGATAATCGATCTTCTGTCTCTGTGTCTCTCTGTCTCAGGTCGTATCCTGGGCTCCGGAGCTTTTGGGAAGGTTGTGGAGGGCACTGCTTACGGACTGAGCCGCTCCCAACCGGTGATGAAGGTGGCAGTGAAGATGCTGAAGCGTGAGTTTAACAGACTACAATGGGACAACAATTAAAAGACCTTTAGGTCATCGAGCCATCTCTGTTATTAATCTGCTGCTGTAACTAATGAATACATTGACATACTTTATTGTAATTTTGCACACAGTATACAGTTGACTGTGATGACCGAGGGGTTATTCTGGTACCTTGAGACCCTTAGCGTCAAACTGCTGCAAAGTGCATGAATATGATGCTAATGTTTATTGATTTAAAAGTCAAATCTGAATGTATACACAGGATACATACTTATGTAGATTATGTGTTACTTATACTTTCAACAATATCATTATCTAAGATAAGTACATGCCCATTAACCTGCTTAGAAATCAGATACAATGTGGCAGTACTTCCATTCAGTTTAAATCTTCCTTTCATGGTTTTCTGTACTGCCGGTAAAACAAATGTAAAACAAGAGAGGCAAATGGCTAATCGCAATTACTTTTATAGAGCTGAATTTAAAATTGGAGGGGAAGAAAGTGGGTAGCTGATAGAAGTATTTCCCCTGATTTAATCCTACTGGTGCTGAACTTTTCACCTGTGATAAAAAACAAAGATGATAATAATAAAGACCCAGTTAACCAACAACAGATTGATTGATAAATGAGATCTTGGCTGATTTTGTTGGCTTGTCAGACAGTTTGATATTCATGCTGTTGTGCCTTGTTGCAGCCACAGCACGCTCCAGTGAGAAACAGGCCCTGATGTCTGAGCTGAAGATCATGACTCACCTTGGACCACATCTCAACATCGTCAACCTGCTGGGAGCGTGCACCAAGTCAGGTAAAAACACAATCACAGTCACAGGCAAAAATCCCACTGATTCAGATTAGCGTCGCTGTTTTGCTCTTGCAAATTCAGGAAGGTACACACATTAGCTCCCACTTTTTTTGCTGCCAAAAATGTGCACACACTTGTTCAGATTTGCCGTTTGTGCACATATTCACGTCTAACAGTCAGATCTGCAGCCTGTCTCGGCTCGTGGTGGGTGTGGTATTTTAACAGGCTTTTTATGGGAAAGTGCAGGCTTGCCCTCCTGACTGTGCTTTTAGTCTTTACGAGCTCTCTGATAAGATTAGCCTGCAGACTGACGCCAATGCACAACTTTTTATCTGCTGTGTGTTTTCTTCCAGGCCCCATCTACATAATCACAGAGTACTGCTTCTATGGAGACCTGGTCAACTATCTGCACAAGAACAGGGAGAATTTCCTCAGCCTGACCCCGGAGAAGAGCAAGAAAGAGCTCGACATCTTTGGAATCAACCCTGCAGATGAGAGCAGCAGGAGGTACAACATGTTTCTAATCTTTTGCAAAGTTTTTTTCATTTAATTCAGTCACTTATAATGTTGCAGACATTTTAAGAAAGTCGGACTCTCTTCCCCCCTTTGCCACTCCCAAATGCTGAAGCCATGGTCACTACAACAACACAACCATTTGTGCAGCTGTCTCATATTCCCCTCATCCCTAATCGGTAACTCTACCGCTGTTTTCTCCCTGGCTGAGGAGATTGTCTGGCGTCTTCACCAAATCAAATCTCACTCTGAAGTGGTTTCAGCTTCCAGCCTAATTTCATTCTGCGTGAGGTACCTGTTAATTCTGTCCGCCCAGACGTTCATGGTGAGGCAGCTCTCTCTCTCTTTCTCTGAGGCTGCTGCGTGGTGATGGATGACTCATAGTGACCACACCTCGAACTGACCATAACATGATTTAATCCTGGCGACCATGTTTCCCTCGACCACGTCTTCCTCTAAAGCAGCAAGAGGGAGGGAGATGATTTAACACCACAGCTTCCTGGCAGCAGTTCTGGCTGTTTTTAAATTTTGCCCACGTAGCCCAAAAAACATTTTCTAAATAAAAACAATTTAACCATAGGACTCTGACTTTCCCAAAATATGAAGATATTTTATTCTAACATTGCTACATCGATTTAAATAACAAGATGCAAAAAGTATTTGAGTTGTTATACCTAGAGCGACCACTAGTACAGCCATATTTACCTATCATGGATCATTTCAGTGTGTATCTCTTTTCCCCACTTTAGAAGATGAATTTCAGAGACACCAAGAATCCTTTTTGTCTATTTTTTTTTAAGTTTTGCAAGGCTACAAACTAGCTGAAGGTTTGAGCTTAAAGCAAGGTAGAAATTGCTCCTAAAACAAATCAATACATTTTACAAGTGAGCCAAATTATAGGAGAATTCTTTCCTTTAGATTTTACATCTGAGTATGAAATTTTCATTATTTTATTGTACACAAAGACACTATTCCCCTTTAAAGAAGTTCAGCGGCCTGTTGAATTGGGGGGTTTTCTGATTATTTTCCTGCAGTGTTCAGTTTTTTTTTCTGGTGTTTTATAATTTAACATTAAAATATACATCTTTTATCTTGACGTTAATTGTTACCCTTTACTATGATACTGCAGATCATCAAATATTTGTATGAACAGTCAGAATGATTGCTAAGGCTATGCTAGCATTTATAGATTTTTGATCGTTTAAGACACAACATTTGAAAAGCAAATGTTTGGATTTATTTTACATATTTAAAATACATTTAAAATCATTGTTGTTAGACTAGCAGTTCAATGCTGCTCGCTGCCTTCAATGCGACATGTTGCAAAAAACAAGGGCATAAACAACAGGTGATCAATACATTAAAGTTATACAAAACCAAAAGAAGAGAAAAGGTTCACAAATGAGGATACGGCCTCATCCCTCACAGCGTCCCTCACATTTTCTTTCTTTGTCTTTGCAGTTATGTGATCCTGTCATTTGAGAGCAAAGGAGACTACATGGACATGAAGCAGGCTGACAACACTCAGTACGTCCCCATGCTGGAGATGAGCAACTCCTCAAAGTACACAGACATCCAGTCGTCCGAGTACGACCACCCCCCCTCTATGAAAGGTACACAGAGTTCACCCTCTCTCTTACTTATTGGTGTGTGTTTGGCTTCAGTGTATGGTGTGTTTGAGCCAGTGTTGGTGGGGTCCACCCTCGTCAGAGTTTAGCACTGGTACAACCCTGTCATTACATGGAGAGGATAATTGTAGCGCACGTATAATAATAATGCCCGGTTTCTTCCCTTCCATTAGTAAACGCCAGGTTTAAGCAGCCATAAACTATATTTACAAAAACATGATCACTGCGTCTTCATGTGTACATTCTCTGTGTGTTTTCCAAACCAGAGGGAGAGATGGATGACCTAATGTCAGAGGACATGAACGAGGGCCTGTCCACCACTGACCTGCTCAGCTTTACCTACCAGGTGGCCAAAGGGATGGAGTTCCTGGCCTCCAAAAATGTAAGCTGTGGCGTCCTCTTCACTACTGATTGGCTCTCTGTCTGAAGAGCTGCAGTTTTACTTACAGGGTAGTTTATGAGCAGACATCAGCCTGGCTGGGTCCTGTTCTCGTCTTGCATCTAACTCATGAACTATATCAGTGGAGGTAGCCACTTTTACCTCGTCCATTAGCTTTTAAAGCCCCCATTTTAAAGATTTATCTTTTTTATCTTTTTTTTTGTCGTCACCATATTGTTTTGATGGGATCAAGAGTGACTATATTTTGACAACAGGTTTGATTTGATTTGTAGTTTTAAGACTTGACAAGTGCTGGATGAATAAGTTCATTTTCACCTGAACCATATATGTGGTTATGTCTCTGTCCTGACCGACAGGACGCCATGTAAGTTTCTTAAATCCTTCCCTGCTTTCAGGTCTCTTTGACTCTAAGTGGTACCATCATTTACTTGATGAACATAATGCTGTATTGAAGAAGACTTGAAACTACAGATTGAGACCATAAACTCGTGTTAAATGTTAAGTGTGGGAATAAATGGACTGAGAAGTTGGCTGATCCCTCATGCAGTAGACATCTGTACAATAAGACTCCTATTTCCAACAAGTTGTATTCAAATGGACTTTGACAAGAAAGCGCCCCAATATTTGATAAAAAAAACAAAACAAGTTTTACAGTGTGAATGAAGTGTGTTGTTGATCAGTTCACTCTTGGGTCATTTCTCTCCCCAGTCCCTGAGCCGGGCTAAGAGAAAATTCAGTCCACAGAGGGATGATGAATATGCTGAGCTGCTGGGGTTTGCAGACCACACAGTTCCTTCTTTCCACTGGTTCTGTGTTTTGCACGGTATCCTGTATAAAGACATCAGTGCAGTCCAAGGAGGAGGTCTGAGATCAGCACTTTTTGTGATAAGCGGTCCTGTGAAGGCTGCTGAGCCCACTCAGGAGACAAGGCCAAGCAGCTGAATATAGGAGCAGCAACGCCAAGGCTAGAATTAGCAGGCAGGGACACACTGCAGCCAGAGGCTTCATAGTTATTATCCCTAAATATCCAGTGGTCACAGCTATCCCTCCAACTGGCATGTTTACACAAAGACCAACGCTTCATAAAGCAAAATGAAACAGAATTAAAATGAACCTCGGGGCTGAGATGAACTACGAGCAGAAATAGATGCCGAAGCTGAAGCCATGGGAGTAAAATGTGTTGGTTTAGAACTGAGAATTAAAAAATGTTCATTGCACTGAGCTGCTGATCACCTTTCCTGCCTCTCTCTTTCTGTGTGTCTGCAGTGTGTACACCGGGACCTCGCTGCAAGAAACGTCCTCCTCTCTCAGGGGAAGATAGTGAAGATCTGTGACTTTGGATTGGCCCGAGACATCATGCACGACAACAACTACGTCTCCAAAGGGAGTGTAAGTCTTGATTTATGTCCAATTAAATGTTGTTGTTTTTTCAGAATCAGAATCAGAATCAGAATCGGGGTTTATTGCCAAGTACATTTACACATACAAGGAATTTGACTTGGTGTATTGGTGCTAAACAATTAACAAGGAAATAAAACAGAACTAGCAACAACTTAAATAATACAGTATAAGAAGATATTACAATATATAAAATAGAATTTAAAAATGTAAAATATAAAAAATAAAAAACACAAAATGTACAAAAGGTGCAATGTAAGAGCTGTGCAGTGGACTATGAGAAAAAAATGAGAAAAAAAACAACAATATATATTTATTTTTTTTCATAATTTTACAATATTTGATCATGTTTTTGTATGTATGACTGAATGTGTCCTTTCTTATCATCACACAGACTTTCCTGCCTGTGAAGTGGATGGCACCTGAGAGTATTTTTGACAACATGTACACCTCTCTCAGTGATGTTTGGTCCTACGGTATCCTACTTTGGGAGATATTCTCTTTAGGTGAGTCCCCTGCAAACACCTATCATGGAAAAGGTAACTACATGAGAGTGGAGTTCAGTACAGGAAAAACTCATGAGACTCTTGTTTGTGTGTGCAGGCGGGACCCCGTACCCCGGGATGGTTGTGGATTCAAGCTTCTACAACAAGATCAAAAGTGGATACAGGATGTCTAAACCAGAGCAAGCTCCTCATGACGTGTACGTGATCGTTCACATGTTTGTGTGTTCAGATGAGGAATGTGTTTGGCTGTAAACTCAGAAACTCTGAGTCTCTGACAAAGGTTGTAGAACATGTTTGTGTGTTTCAGGACAGGGCGTACACTTCTCGGCGGTAATAACGCCTTTCTTTCTGTCTTTTTTAGGTATGAGATGATGATGAAGTGCTGGAACAGTGAGCCGGAGAAGAGGCCGACCTTCCTGGGTTTGAGTGAGACGGTAGCGTCTCTGCTGCCCTCCAGCTACAGGAGGGTGAGTCTCACTGTGACCGCTCACCTCTACAGACCTCTCTGGATTCTTAACCCCTACCTTCTTATTTCCCACCCTTCTCTTCTAATCCCACAGTGGTACGACACCATTTAGGGCTGGTTTCACAAAGACAGCTTGACTGCAGCTTATATATATATGTTTAAAAAAAAGAGAGAGTCAAATATCAGATCTTAAAAGATCCATTTCTGTTGCACGCAGCATTTTCTCAAAACAGGATTACAGTTCAATTGTTAAATTTGAACTTTTACAGTAAGAAAAGGGCTAGCAGAATTACAGCAACAAACTGCTAAGCTCCATGGGCTCAGGTAGAAAGTCTAAGCTTTTGCAAGAATTTAACAGTTATAAGCTATTCACAATAAGGAAATGAAACATGATGTTGAAAAATTGCAGCAAAAGTTAACTGTTAGGAAAGTTAAAAAGACAATAATACAGGACACAAAACCAGACATATTCAAAGCAGATTAATCCTCACACACTCTCCACGGGAAGAAGAAAAAATACAAAAGAGTTGGTCATATCAGTCGCCAAGTGTTTGTGGGAAAGATGGAAAAGTAAGCAAAGTATGTGTGTTACCATGGCAACATTGGTCATAAGACTGAGTTAGCCTGGGGATAAGGTGTCTAATTTGTTGGGCTTGAAGTAAGAATGTTTTTTTATCTTCATGGATTGGTTTATTTTACATTGGACATATTCCCCAACAAATGAAAAGCCTGGTCTCAAAAAAAAACCCAGTATCTCATATTTTTGTGAAATCAGTCCTTGCTCTTCCTTTATTTTCCATGTTATGGCTTGTAATTGAATTATTTTAGCAGTTATCAAGATGTCCTCTCTTATCTAAAAGCCTGTACTTTTTGCCAGGTTAAAAATGATTTTACTGAGCTCTTAAAGTGGCAAAGTAATCATTTCAAAGCCCTTCCACTTCCTCTGAGGCTGCATTAGTAGTGTATCTGCACACTGTCTGTAAAAACTCAAACTCAGGAGTGATTAGAGTGCAGAAGCAGCAGCTGGCTGTCAGAGCGGCCCAGCCTCAGTCTGGGTAATGACGCAGCCTCACTTCTTGCCTCCACCACCCCGACCTTAATTACCCCATTAAAGCCGGTGGCACACATGGCACATCAAAAACAGCCTCACCTCTGCCTTCTTCACCGAAGGTTTAAGGGCCGGGGGCAGAGGAGGAACCCACTCTTGTTTTAGCACCTCGGGCGGGTGTGATTTTCAGTTTGGGATTGCACCATCCAGCTGGCAACACAACCAGTGATCACACTCTTCACCACAGTCCTCCTGCAGCTTCATAACACTGTGTTTACTCTGAGCAAACACTGCTACTCTGCTAGCATCTGTGCAGAGAACACAAATGCTGGTGTGCAGTTTCCTCTTGTAATTTTTTGCTATCTAACGAGTCTAATGTGTCCGTGTGTCTGCAGCATTATGAAAGGGTGAACCACGACTTCCTGAAGAGCGACCACCCCGCTGTGACCCGAGTCTGCATGGAGAACGACGACGCATACATCGGCATCACCTACAAGAACCAGGGCAAGCTGAAGGACCGGGAGAGCGGCTTTGACGAGCAGCGGCTGAGCTCTGACAGCGGCTACATCATCCCCCTCCCAGACCTGGACCCCTTATCTGACGATGAATATGGAAAGAGGAACAGACACGGGTAAATGGAACTAAAAAATCAACCTTTACCCCTATTCATGAAGGATGTTTGATACAAACACCAGAATTGAAAATGCCCCCTTTAAATATTTTAGCCTCACAAAGTAACTAAATATATTAGTTTTATGGGTAATAAATATTTCTTTCCACTCCAAAAAAATCAGAATTTACAATTTGTAAGAACAAGAAGTGATTTCAGCTGATTTATTACTTTACCATAAAAAACAACCACAGTTTTGTTTCATGAGACAGTCTAAGGTTAGTGACAGCTTCACTGAACAATAAGATTCACTTTAAAAGTTGTTGTTTCTCAGGACACAGCAATTGTAGAAACGCTGTGAGTGGAGCTGCATCTTTAGGAGGGCTTAATCTGAGTCTGAGTACCAAGACTACATTTTAGCTTCATATTCCTTTAGTGTTCAGGGTTCATTAGGTTTTTAAATCGAGCTGAAGGTTTGCTCCTCTTCAAAATAAACTAAACTGGTTTTAAAGAAACTAAAAACACTAATAAAGCACTTTTAGTTTCATAATTTGAGTTGCTCCAAATGCAGCGCCACCAGAGGGGCTGCAAGCTGAGCTGCAGCTAACTACAGCCGAGCTGTGTTCTTGGTACAGAGTTGTTTCAAAGTTTGGATTCAGTGGCACTGGTAGCCTGGTGGCTAGTGTGTGCACCCCATGTTCAAAGGCTCACTTCTTTGAAAGTGGGCAGCCCGGGTTCAAATCCAGCCTGTGACTCCTTTCCCGCATGTCATTCACCATTCTCTCTCTCTCTCTTTAATTTCTGACTCTATCCACTCTTCTGTCTTTCAAATAAAGTGATTAAAGCAAAAAATAAACCTTTAAAAACAAAGGATTACCCCAATATCGCTCCTGAGGTTTTAAACCTTTCATAAACTAATCTAGATATCTCCTTCTTTTTTTTTTAAACATACAGACCTAATAATAAAAACATATATGAAACTTGATAAAGTCGTTTCATATTATTTTGAAAAAAGTCCTTCTCTCTCCAAAGTAAAAAAATCTTCATAGAGTTATTTCTTCCTGGACGTTTTTTTGTTGTTGTATTAATGTTCTGAATAAAACTCAGACTGGAGTGAAGAAAGTTCTGTAGTTATTATTCTCTTTTTGTGTCAGTAAATGTTTGACAAAGAGGTTCAACCTGAGCAAGCCCTTAAAATGATAGAAATCATAAAACAGCACTTGATGTCTGCTTTTAGTTAATTCAGACTTCTGATACAACATGTAAAAGGAAAGAGTGATATTAGAACATCTCTCCGTCTCTATAGTATCTTTGATTCAGTGCAGATGTCATTATTAATCTGTCTTCTTCTCGTCCCTGCAGCTCTCAGACGTCCGAGGAGAGCGCAATCGAGACCGGCTCCAGCACCTCCACTTTTGCAAAGCGTGAAGGCGAGACTCTTGAGGACATCACACTGCTGGACGAGATGTGTCTGGACTGTAGTGACCTGGCAGAAGACAGCTTCCTGTGACGTCTACCTCCCACACCCCGCCCCCCCGCCTATAGAGCACACAGAACAAAGACACAGGGACGCAAGGACTCAGGAGACTAAGACTTGTAAATCTACCAAAGACTCTGCAGCCTTGCCCCTCCTCAGAACAAAAACCACTTCTTCACTGTGTGGACAGGTCTGTGGTAAAGTGCACGGTATACCCTACACCTCCTGGACACTGCCCCCTGCTGGGTTGGAGGACGAAAAAACGACATATAAAGGACTCAGAACCATCGAGCCTGGACCGATGAAAACGAAAAAAGATTGTCTTTGTTTTCGTAAAGCTTTATTCTATCGGGCATTCTTTTAACAGCAATATAAGCAAGAAGGGACGGCTTCAACATGTTGGTCAGAAGCTCCAAACGAACACCTGCAGGATCTTTCATAAGATATTTAACCACTACAGTAAAAAAAAAAAATGAATCCAATACTAGCAACAGCATTGACAGGAAGACTCACCTGCTGCGAGAGAAGAGACCCTGACGCTGGTACAATCAGAAGCAATAAGCACAACATCTGGACTGTGTGCATTCCTGATGTGTATGACCGTATCATGTTTTCAAATGACTTAATACGTGCAGTTACCAAATTTATTTTTTTACTTCATCCTTATGTAAACATGTATTATTTGTGAATAGATGTCGAGCATAGCTGTTTGAATGGTTATGAGAGTTGCATGCATCTCCGCAGTGTCTCACTTTTAGCTCAAACACAACGTGATGTCCTCAAAGTCGTCCCTGTTTAAGACTCAAGTCGTATTTGCCAAATGAAGCATGATTGTATTGTAAATAGCTCCAGAGTTGTTTTATAAGAGGATTATTGGGATAACAGTATTTTTATAAAAGCACATTTGAAGCGCCTGCACCCTCCTTTGACCAAGTGTAGCTGATACTTTTGGATGAATTCATCACAAGTACATTTGTAAATTTGAAAAATTTGAAAACATGTGCCGCCATAAAATACAGCACATTGTCTTTGGCTATATTAGTGGATGAGAAACAATCAGATTTTGTAAGGGTTTGGATATCCGACATGTAAAGTTTTAATACATTTTGGCACCTATGAACGCAGCATCCTTCACACTGTGGTGTGTTCATGAGCTTAAAATCAAAATATGAAATAAACAAGGTCCCTACAAAACAAAATGTGATGTAATTTAAAAAACACAGAAGTGATTTAGTTTGCTCTGCATGAACAGCAACAAATTTGTACAACCTCAAACAGTAAATCAAGTAAAAACTGAGTCAAACATTGTGATTTAATTCAAAGTTTTTGACCATAAAGTAAACGTTTGCTTTGGACCTCAATGCTTCAGTCTAACTTTGCGAGTTGAATTGAAAGATTTAACAAGTTTTTCCAACTTCTACCAACTTTAAGGAGCGAGGGACACTTTTTTTTGTTTTCAATTATTCCAACACCAGGTGAATGCAGTTAGCCACATCAGAACATTTGTAAAAAAGAAAGGGATAAAAGAGAGAGTTTGAAATCAAAAAGAAAATTGTATCCAGTATAATGCTTCTTACTGTACAAACAGTTTGTCCAGTCTCATATTGTATCTACTGTCCTGAAGTCAATTAGCAGGTTCTAGTTACACTTAGACATTAGAGGGACTAGATTCATGTGAATCTGATGTTATACATCAGTTACAGTACGTGTCGACTCTTTGAAATCCTCGTTATTATCCACCAGCTGATCCACTGCCTCCGCCTCTCTGTCCACTGTGATTGAATCTGCAACCAGCTGCTGCACTTTGCTTTGTTTTCCTGTTTGTCGTGGATGTTGGTGAAGAGTTGAAGCTAGAGGGAAAAAAAGGATGGGAAAGGAAGCTTTGTTTGATGTTTAAAGCCGTGTGGATGTGAATGTTTGTGTTGTCGACGGTACAGCCTCTCTGTAATCACACCCAATATGATGATTTAGTATTCCATTATTTTACAACATGTACATTCAGATGATTTATATTTCAATAAATGATTTATTATGTATAAAACATTGTCTCTCTGTATGGTTATACAATATTACACAACATCACAGGAGTCAAAGAAAAGATGAATGAGGCTCTTATCTGTTTGGAGAAGTCTGCGGGGATATTAAAGGCATCAGAAGATGAACATCACATATCTAAATATAGATTAATGGTGCTCATTTTCTTTATCTGGCAGCAGAATACATTGGTGTTTAGATTTATATAAATAATGCAAGATAGGCAAAGGAAATGCACGTGTAGATGTAGATAAGATAAGATAAAACACCTGAATAGAGTGTATTATGTCTGTGTTACTTCCCTCCCTCGTTGTTCTCACCTGTGTCTTGTTAGTCTCACTCTCTCACCTTTGTTTGATTGCCCTGTGCATTAAGTCTGTTTTCCTTCTCTTCTGTGTCAGTTCAGTATGTCTAACCTAACAATAAAATAAGATAAGATACAACTTTTATTGATCCCCCATTGGGGAAAATTTAGTTGTTAAAACAGCTCATAAAGAACAGGAATAGAATCAGCAAATAGCAAAAAAAAATCAACATGTTTACATTAATTAAATATAGGAAAAAAGACATACAATGGAAAGAAGCAAGCTTTATTTTGCCCCTTTTTTTAGCTTATATTTTATGAAGTCACAGATGGGGGATCTGTCCAAATATTGAAAATGCTATCTGACAGACTGCCACTAGAAGGCGCTCTTTGCTCTGCAAGAATACAATAGTTGTGAAAACAGAGGAGAATTAGACATTAAATAAAAATAATTAAGCTGTTAAAATACACTGCCTGGTTTCTCAGTGTTCATGCTCAGACTTCTTGAATATAAGATTGTGTTCAAATGTTTTTAATCCCCCCCAAAAAAACTTCACTCAACGTTACTGCGTAGACTAAAAACATGTCATTACCGTTATATTCCACTAGAGGGAAGTATTGTCTAGATAATTCCAAGGAAGACATGAGGAGGAGATGCAGTAGAAATAGCAGAACTTCTTCCCCTGACCGTGTGCGTGTGCGTGCGCGTGCGCGTGCGTGTGCGCGAGACAGTTTTATGTTCCATCAATCGCACCACATCTGAAGGCATTTAATAAAACCAAACATCTCTATTAAAAGAGATGACCTGCTGTTTTGCTGCAACATGAAGTTTGAGTCATAAATTAATGAATTACATTAAAGAGAAGAAATATTTCTCTCCTATCAAATGCACTATTTCCTTTCATTCTCACAGTTTGGAACACGACGTCAACAACAACATTATTTACTGACTAACCCAGTGTTGTACTGGTTTTCTTTTGTTTTCTCAGAGTGTGGAACCCTCCAGGCTGAACTGCACTCGTGCAAAAAACGGCCTCGAGATCGTCTTCAAACTGCAACTGTTGATCTGAAGCCCAGAGCAACCTGCACAGGACTGGATGGACGTAATACTCATTTTAAATGTGCTCCAGGCTCCTGGTAAACATAAAGAGTGTACTCAGAACTAACAGCTGAAAGTTTGCATGCAGCAGAAATAAGCCACAACAACAACAGCTGACATTTTTCTACTTCTGGATATGTCTGATAAGTCTGAAAATGACATTCATCACAACATCTGTGTCAAATATGACTTTTATTTAAAGAAGATAATTGCGCAGACACTGAACCTGCAGGTGATTTTGTTCCTGATAAGTCTGTTATGGAGGAATGATCTCTTCAGAATGATAACAACATGCACCATTCACTGACTCCTGTGTTTAACAGGAGACATGCAAAATGCTGTGGTGAACAGGAGACATGCAAAATGCTGCGGTGAACAGACACCAATAAAATAACTGCTTGTGTGTCAGAACTGCTGCATTTATGGAAATATAATTTCTAGAGAAATGTGTCTGATAGGGTTTCATTTTCCTCCAGTACTTTCACAGAGGCAGCTTTACTTCAAGGAAAATAAAAATATACATCTCTAGGAATCCAAGAAAACCTGACAAAACGATTTTAGGAACTAATGAAGGCAGCATGGTTAAAAGCACGGCAAGACGAGGGGGCTCAAGCTGTGCCGTGAGCAAATGTCAACTTGCCTGCATGCTGATGCAAAACAGGAGTTTTACAGAAGTAAAAAAAAAAGTATTATCAGTTTCAATTCTGATCATGCTACTCTTTGCACCAGAACTGGTCCACCACATAGAGAGCTGTTGCAGCAGCTTTGGAGCTGTAAGTTCTGTCTAAAGTTATAGTGTTGTGTAAAGTACACACTAAACTCAATGCTGAAACTAGTTAGTTTATTACTCAAGTTGTGTGTCATTGTTTGGTTGCACAACAGAGACATGAGGTTCATCTTAACTTGTAGAGCGTTACGTCCAAATGAACCAAAATATTGTTGCAGAAATGTTTGAACTTAATGTGACCAATCAGTGAATGAATTGTCCCCTCAGCTTTTGTCATCTGTGCAAGCCAAAGTTATCAAAGGACATGTTTCATTCATGTACATGCTGTGCAGATACAAATTTGCAATCTTTTACCACAGACATGGATGGAATTCATTAAAATGCAGGAACGACTGGTATAAATGTGCTAGCAGGGCTAACCCCTCCCTTTCTTATCAAATAAAGATCACAAAACTAGTATCATTTTTCAATTTAGGTTGAACCTAGAGTTGCAACAAAACCTGACATTAAAATAAAAAGCTCACAATATATCTCTAAAGCCCAAGCATAGTAGCATCTTTTTCCTTTTCTTTTCTGTAATGTAAATAGGTGACATGGCAACATACACTTTTTGTGCTTCCCCCTGGTAAATTATTCACCAGCTGCCACTGACCAAATGGATTGATTAGTCTTAAAATAATCCACAGATTTACTGAAAATAATCTTTGGTTGCTGCTCTTTTTGTGTCTTTTTTTAAACAAAAGAGTATGTGAATAACCACAGTATGATGAATGTGCAGGGCGGATTAAGCTGCTGATTTACTGGAGCTCTGCAAGGCCTGCGGCTGACTGAGCGTTTCATTTGGTCGTGTCTGGAGGTGTGCTGAGGTCTGGCAGGAGGTGATATGTTGGAGCCCCCGGCTACAGACTGTTAGCAATGTTTCAACCTGACAGTCTGACCTGCCAGCCGGCCGCAGAACACTGCTGGGACACACAGGCAGATCTCCCTGTAGTGTATGTGTGTGAGTGTGTGTGTGTGTGAGTGTGTGTGTCAGTGTGAGTGTGTGCGTGTGTGTGTGTGTGTGTGTGTGTGTGTGTGTGTGTGTGAGTGTCAGTGTGAGTGTGTGTGTGTGTGTGTGTGTTTGTGAGTGCGTGGCAGTGATGTTTTTTTGATACAGTTGTTTGAACACCCAAAGGAGCCAGGACATTTTCAGTTAGGCAACATGCTGGATGTGGTTTGTGAATTTGACAATGTTATTATCACCTGATAAATTTACATACAAGTTTATGCACAATGCCGTGTAAAAAAATCAAATCAAATAAATTTAAGTTTTTACACTCTGTAAGTCATGAACACACACATAGGCTGAAGTATACACACATGCACAAACAGGATCCTATGGACATGCACTGATGGAGAGATGTCGGAGTGACAGACAGAGTGGCTTGCTCAAGGGCACCTCAGCAGTGCTCAGGAGGTGATCTAGCACCTCTCCAGCTACGAGACTAACTTCTATATTTGGTCTGCACCAGGACTTGAACCCATGATCCTCTGGTTTCCAACCCAAGTCCCTACAGACTGAGCTACTGCCAGCAACTGACCATCAACTAGGAATTTCTGACTACCAAGATAAAAAGGAACACACCATAATATACAACATAAAGGTGTGAGTGTAGTTTTGGTGACTGTTCTGTATTCAAAGCAGATGTAATGAAGGCTCTTCAGCAAAATGGATTGTGCCACATTAAATTTCATACTTTCATTTCTTTGTCAAATTCATTTTGTAAAATGTTGCATACAACTGTATTAAAGCTAGAGACAGACAGACAGACAGACAGATAGATAGATAGATAGATAGATAGATACTTTATTGATCAAGGGAGTAATTCAAACCCACAAATCCATCAAACTCTTGATGTCTGTTGTTGTGTCCTGTGATGTTTCTTTTTTTTTTTAAGATTTATTTTTGGGCTTTTTGTGCCTTTAATGGAGAGATATGACAGTGGATAGAGTGGGAAATCAGGGAGACAGAGAGTGAGGAATGACATGTGGGAAAGGAGCCACAGGCTGGATTTGAACCTGGGCCCCCCTGTGATGTTTCTTATTTGATCTTATTGATGTTACAAAACTGACCATGACAGAGTTCAAATATCTGGAGGTGAGCTCGGATTACAGCTTCTTTCTCCTCCTGCATCCTGCATTCAAAGGAGTCAGCTGAGTTGGCTCCTGCACCTCCTGGGCATCTTCCTTCCTTTAGAGATTTTCTGGGCACATCCACCTGGCCTGTGTCCTGCAGGGGTAGATCCAGAAGTAATTGAAGGGATTATTTATCTCATCTAACCTGCGCACGAGGAGGGCTTCCAAAGGATGAGTTAGATGCCGTGAAGGATGTCTGAGCTAACCTGCTGACACCGAGACGTGACTCCTGATCAGTTAAGGAAAATAGATGGATGGACTTTCACTAAACTATTTTGTTTTTGTATTACTCTGAGCAATCTGTTTTACACATTAATCCATTTCTTTACTAACCAGTATTGTTTTATCTGTTACTTTGCTAAGAATTTCTTGAGGCACTTTTCAATTTACCTACCTGTCTACTTATTCATAAGGCTCTACCTGACGGTTATGACAATATATTTTGCCAACACTTCTTTGTGTGATCAAATTGTTTTGTACATAAAGTGATCAAACCAGTGACAGATAATTGGTAACATATCCTTAAGGCCAAAGTGACACCGTATCATTGCTTATTCTGTCAAACCTGCAGTTCAAAACCAAAAAGACTCTTCTTTCTTAATTCTCTCAAATGCCCTCAGATGGTCCGGCCTAAATATCCATTATCAGCAATGTAGGGGGGGCCAAGAGTGAATTAATCAAATACACTTTACAAACAACATG